CCTTGGCTAATGGCTCGACGACTGTAAAAAGACTTTCACTTTACAGTTTTTTTGTTTTTGGGTTTTTTGTTTTGGCGAGTTGTTTTATGTTGTTTTACGCGCTCCGCTTTTGGACATTAAGTTGCACTTGACGCAGTCAAAGTTACTGCCACACACACAACTCATGCAGCGACGACGACAGCGCCTAAGATATGACTACCGAAAGCAAGGCGAGCGGCGGGCTGTGGCATTGCCTGGTGGACTGTCTGCCGGTTGTCAAAAAAAAAACAAAAAAAAAAAAAACTGTTCGTGCAACATGCTGCAAGTTTTGCCTAGCTTCCGTTGTGGTACATACCCTTTTGCCATGTTGCAAATTGCAATTTTAATGGGCTACAAGATGCGAGCCATTGCACAACTTCCACTTCACTCCACTCCACTCAAGCACTCTGCCCAATTCAACTGCAACTGCAACTACAACGCGGCGTATGCGTAATAAATTCAAACAAACCTTGAAAAATATGTTTGCCATTTGGCCAGCTTTTCTTTTTTTTTCTTTTTTTTTTTTTTGTCTGGTATTTGACTTATCTAACTTCTCGCTGCTGTCATAATATATCTTCAAATACGAAATGAATTAAATTTTAAACCTGTTCAGCTTGTCTAATATTTTTGCTTGAATTTAAATTTGAAAAGGGAGCATTATTTAATTAATATTAAATTAAAATATGAAATTAGAAATTAAAATCTTTATTTACAATTTTTATTTCTATTTGAAATATGTAAGATTTATATTTATATTTTATATATATTTTATATTTTCATTTTAGTTTTCATAATTAATAACTCAACTAACTTTTTGGAGACGAAAACTTTTAAATTATTGCAATACAAATTTTTATATTATTTTATTTTTAATTTAATTATAAGAATTAGAATTAAAATTACTAAAATTTGTAGAATATCAAATCAAATATTTTTAAATATTACAACACAAATTTTTATATTTATTTTTATATTATATTATTTTTTTATTTTTAGAATTATAATTACTAAAATGTGTGGAATATCAAATGAAAACAAATTCTTTAGTCTACATTTATTATCAACTGCATTTCAATATAAGTTCATATTGACTTAAATTAATATTGAGCTAAATAAATATTTTGAATATTCCCTATCAATAACAGAAATATATTTTAAGCATGCTTCTAAGCCTATCTGCTTTACTAAATTCTATTTGTATTAACCACAAAAGTTTCCCAAGAGCTGAGAAGCTTGTTAAGCTTATTATATCTCAATTAATGCCCATAATACTTGTAATACTTTTCGATAACTAACATTTGATACGTTGTATATTATTTATAGTTCTTATCGCAGAAAGCGTATGTGAGCCTTCGCCTAGCTACTTTTGCCTTTAGTTTGGAGCAACTTTAAGAACGTATCAAATTTTGCATGCAGCGGCAGCAGCAGCGGCAGCGGCAGAAGCTAACAAATTAATTTTTTGTGCACGACGACAACAGAGTCTCGAGTGTGCCCTGAAGGCGGAGTTGTTGCCTTCAAAAGAGGCGTGGCAAATGGTATCACTGCCCTGTCGCTTTCTCCCCCCACATGAGCAACATATATCATAGGCGATGGAACAGGAGTTGCTGCTGCTGCTGCTGCTGCTGCTCCCGCTCCTGCTCCTGCTGCTGCTCATGTTTCGCGTCAGGCTGATTAGAATATAGCGAGACGTTTGCATTATTTATGCCAGCCAAATGAAGGTTTGCGGGTCAAAGGCTGGTCGACTGTTAGCTGGCTGGCTGGCTGGCATAGGAGCAGCAGGAGCGGCTCCATTGACAAAGTAAGAGCGCACGTGACGGGGCAGTGCGAATGACAGGTGGACCGGAGTGAAAGAGAGAGATAGGGAGAGCCAAGCTGAATGTCAAGCGACAAACAATGAAAATAAAAGGAGCCAGGCACGTGACAGGACTCGCTCCGCGCTCATCATTGAATAACTTATTGAGCAACATCAGTGACTCCTCCGACCACTTTTAATTGCAGACAGTGCCTAAAAGATGCCAAAAGCAAGTCGCGAAATGAAATTGGTTGAGCAGCAGCAGCAGGAGCAGCAGCAGCAGCAGCAGGAGCAGCAGCAGCAGTGGCAGCTCCTTTAATCCTTTCTATGCCCAGTGAGGCACGTATGCTATAAGGCAACAGACTGCACGCTACAATTATTTTTCATATTGAAACCTATTCTAATCGAATGTATTTCCAATCATTTGCAGCCTTCTATGTCTGTGTGAGTGTGTGTGTGCCTGGGTCAATTGCTGAAGGGAAATAATTAAAGTTAAACATTTATATATGAGCGAGGCATGAGACCTATATAGTTATAAGTCGATTCTGTGGGTCTTCTACTAGTTCTACTTCTACTTCTACTTCTACTTCTACTTCTACTTCTACTTCTACTTCTACTTCT